ATTTGAAATTAATGGACAAGGAGATCAATATCTGGATTTATCTCAAACGTATGTTCAAATAGTGTGTAAATTTACCAAAGAGGATGGGACTAATCTGAGTGGAGCTGGTAGTACTTGCGCCCCGGTGAATAATATCTTCCATTCTTTGTTTACGGAAATCGATCTCAGTGTCAATGGAAAAATAGTGACTCCGGGCACCGATACTTATCCTTACAAAGCTTATCTGGAGAAATTACTTTCTTACAAACCCCGAACTTTAATGACCCAGATGAAAGCTTGTAGTCTGTGGGAAAAAGATACAGCAGGACACATGGACGAAGTAGGGGTAGCAGACCTTGGAGTGGCTGAAAATAAGACATTTGATGTAACCCCAGGTGCACATGGTGCTGCTGATACTGTGACCATTAATAAACCTATCGTCCCAGAGTTACCGGCCAATTCTAAAAACGAAGGATTTAGAAAACGTCACCAGGCTATCAAAGATAGTAAGAAAATAACCTTGTATGATCGTTTACATCTGGATTTATTTCAACAAGACCGATTTCTACCGAATGGAGTAGATATCCGTTTGAGATTTAATCGAGCTAAACCTCAGTTCTATATGATGATCAAAGATGGAAGTACGGGAAAAGTTAAAATATTGAGCATGATCTTATGGGTAAGAAAAGTCAAACCCACAGCCGTCATGATGAATGGTATTAATCAAAGTTTGAACACTCACAGAGCTAAATATCCATTGAGAAGAGTCGAAGTGAAAACCTTTACCATACTCACAGGAACACAATCTAAAATCACAGATCATCTGTTTCAAGGCCAGATGCCTAAACGCATCATTTTAGGTTTTGTGGACAATGCGGCATTCAACGGAGATAAAACTAAAAATCCGTTTCATTTTCAAAATGTGGGAATTAAGAAATTAGATGTCAGTATTAACGGAGAGACCATGAGTACTCGTTGTTTCGAACCCAATTTCAATGAAGATTTATATCTGAGATCTTATCTGAGTTTATATCAAGCACTGGGAAAATTAGGAGAAGATTGGGCCCCGGACATCACCCTAGAAGAGTATAAAAACGGATACACTTTATGGGGCTGGGATTTCACGAAAGATCAAGAAGCGCAATCGGATAAATTCCACATCATAGAAACCGGAAATCTGAGAGTAGAAGTCCAATTTACGAACAATACGGTGAACACCTTAAATTGTGTGGTGTATGCAGAATTCGATAATCTATTAGAAATTAACAAACAGAGAGAAGTCAGTATTGATTATTAATGGATACAGGACAGTTAAAAGAAGTCTTATCCAGAGAATTAAAGAGTTCTTTTGGTGGTGTGTACCCTTTAGATTTATTACCGGATCAATTAAGACCTCAAGAAAAAGCCATTGTGGTGAATACGGATCCTCAAGATAAACCTGGAGAACATTGGGTATGTTTGTATTTGTCCAGTCCAGTCATCGAATATTTTGACTCTTATGGATTTCCTCCCTTACAAAAAGAAATTCAAGATTTTATCCATCGTCATGCTCAACAATGGATTTATAATCCATACCGATATCAAGCTTGGAATACAGATGTATGTGGACAATATTGCGTGTATTATTTACATCAAAGACATAAGAAGAGAAAAACCGCAGATGAGTGGTTATTCCCCTTGGACCATAGTACAGCATTACAAAGAGATCATTATGTAGCTGAATGGTTTAAAGACACTTATCATAAAAGACCTACGGGTCATGGACAAACTTGTCAATGTTTCTATCAAAATGTATTGTAATTGTTGTTGTTCTTGTTATCATTAAAAGAATTGAAAAAATCTATTCTTGTTTTTTTTTTTTTTGATAAAAAATGGGGTTTCCCCATGATACTAAATATAGAAAAAAAAAAAAGGTATAAATACAAGGTGTAAAATGAAAAATCTATCAGTTATTGATGTATCTTAATCATGGGTAACACGTCTAGTCAAGAAAAGAGTAAAATTCAATTTGGAAAGAGAGTTCTGAGAGAGGAAGATGTGGATAAAGGTATACCAATTCAAATACAGGAGGATGGAACTATTGAGATCCTTTCTCATGAAAAATATAATCAATTATGTCCAGAAAAGGATAATGATGGGAGAGATTACATTGAAAGACCCTTGACTACAGAAGAAGAAGAAGAATATACCCATTTATTACCAAAAACAGATTATCCTGAAAGACCTAAAAGAAGCTGTGTCCAAAAAAAAAAAGTATTTTGAGAAAAAAAGATTGACACAGGATTGTGAGAGAAAGAATCATGGTAGAATCTGAATAAATCATTTAAAAATATCTTTGAATTGTTATAAAAAAAAGAAGTGTCACCAAAAAAAAATTTCATTGTTTCAAACATGAGTCTGACAGAAGAATGTATCATGGAAATCAGAACTCAATTGTTGAAAGATATTAAAACTCATTATGAGAACCAACATAAAGAAGATCCAGGCAATCATTATATTGCTAAATTTAAAAAGGAGAGATTTAGAAGAGCTGCTAATTGGATATTTAATTTAACTGGAGGTCACCAGGAAGATATAGATCAAATCATTAGAAGTGATTATCAATATTTGATCTTACAAAAAGAAATGCATCCAGAAACAGGAAAACTTCATCATGTGAGAGGATTCCTTCAAATGAAACACTGGACCCATGAGAGAAACATGTACAAAATCATTCATGGGTTAACCTGTTTTGATATGTCTCACAGCACACCAGAATTAGAAAGAACATTTTATAAGCAAGGTGACAACTATGAAGAATATGGGACTTTAAAACCTGAAATGAGAAACAAAGAATTAATTCCAAGAGATTGTAGATTTACTTGAATAAATAACATGGAGCTTTTGTGTGTGTGTGGTTTTCTTTGCCTAGACTGTGAATCAGTATGACGTCATAATCTAAGGTTTTGTGTATTGACTGACTCAGCAAAAACGTAAACAAAACGTACACAGTAGTATCTCAGTAAAAAAAAAAACGTAGGTCCAACATTTATTTTTTTTGCACACCACCCCCTCTGAGGGTATAAATACAAAGGTGTGTAAAGGATCATGATCAGTTGACCCTTACCATGAGTCAAAGTCAGTTTGGAAAAAAAACAGAGGCTATGGATATAGAGGAGGAGAAACAACAGTTATTAGAAAAAATAGAGACTATGAATATAGATGAGGAAAAACAACAGTTATTAGAAAAAAGATTGATCATGCCTATGGAAGAAGAACATTCCAGTCCTCAAAGAAGAATGGAAGTGAAAACTCTGGAGGAGGATGAAGAACCTTGTAATGTTTACTTGCCAGCAAATGAGAAGATCCATGACCCAAAGAACCCATACAGAAGTTACAGAGTAGCCACTAACTGGACATTTGTTTTAAATCAAGTGAACGAAGAAATAGAAGATATATACATTTTTCTGAGACTTGAAGATGAAATTCAATACTTGATCCTAAAAAAGGAAATTCATCCCTGGACAGGAAAAGTGCATCAAATCAGGGGTTTCATTCAAATGAAAGAACCTGTAGGAGGACTGGATGTGCATAAAGTTAATCTTACAGCAAGATTTGATATGTCCCACAGTACACCAGAATTAGAAAGAATGTTTTACAGGCAAGGTGGCAACTATGAAGAATATGGAATTCTGAAACCTGAGAAGAGAAACAAAGAATTACTGCAGAAATGGGAAACAGCAAAATTGTGCCTGGAGAAATTTTCAATGTAAAAGAGAGAGAGAAATGATTGAGTATATGGAAAATTCAGATTAAAAATTATTTTTAACAGTTTTATAGTTGTTATTAGTTATTTTGTTCAGGTTGTATATATAAAAAGGTGTGACAATGAAAAAAAAAAATTATTCCTAAACATGAGTTTACAGGAGATACCAGGAGATTTATTAAACTTTCCTGTAGAAGCTATTGTACATCAATGTAATTGTTTGACTGTAAAAGCTCATGGATTGAGTCAAAGTATAGCTATGAAATACCCCAGAGCTAATCTCTATGCGACCCGCAGACCTTTAAGGTCTAGAAATTTAGCCCTAGAAGAAGATAGAGGAATTCCAGGCACCCTTCAAGTGTTTTCTTTACAAAAACCTGTAGTCATTTGTCTGTTAGCTCAATGGGATTATGGCACAGGACATTATAATCGCCTACCTTATTATCAAGATACACCAGAAAATAGAGAAAAATGGTTTCAAGCTTGTTTACAAGAATTGGGCACTTTACCTTACCAGACTTATGCCTTTCCTTATAAAATAGGATGTGGTTTAGCAGGAGGAAATTGGACTCATTATAGACAAAATATTGAACAATTTGTACACACTTATCAAAAACAAGTGTACATTCTTCATAAACATTGATTGTGTGTGTGTGTGTTATAAAGATTGTGTTATAAATAAATAAATAAAAAATAAAAAATGTGTTTATGTTATTTTATTTTTAAAAAAAAAAAAGATTCATGTTTTACAAAAAAAAAATAGGATGTGGTTTTACAAAAAAAAAAATAGTGACCTGGTGTTGATAAGTTTTCTATAACCTTGAATGTTCTTAAAAAGGTATCTATTCAAATCATTAAAGTGGCCCTTAAAAGGGCCGTTGATACGTTTCTATAACCTTGAATGTTTTTTTTAGGTATCTTTTCGTATAGGTATCTATTCAAATAAGTGGCCCTTAAAAGGGTCGTTTCTATAACCTTAAATGTTTTTAAAAAGGTATCTTTTCGTATAGGTATCTTTTCAAAATAAGTGGCCCTTAAAAGGGCCGTTGATACGTTTCTATAACCTTGAATGTATTAGAGGTATCTTTTCGAATCATTGGAGTGGCCCTTAAAAGGGCCGTTGGTTGATTTTTTTTATCAAGGGTTTACTCCCTGAGAGGCCTGCCTCTACCTCTGCCTCTGCCTGAGAGGGAAGGTAACTGGTTACCGGTCAACGGCTCCATAAAGTCTGGCCTTCCGGGTCGGGGTAGAGATGACTCTCTTGGAGGAGAGGGTCTCAATCTCGCCCGCGAGCTGCATATCTCGAAAGCCTGCGTCTACACAGGGGGCAACATTGGTTCATCTGTACCAGCACAGCTGAACACTCGAGACAAGCCGGTCGACGGCGACACTGACAGCAGATGTAATTGGACATCCGATCCTCCTCCAAGCAAACTGCACAGGAATCCATCCTGGCTGCTGCGACTTGAATCCCCCATCTAGGAATTGGCCCCGTAGTACTCACACCTGGTGACATCTCCGGGGTCGGGGGTGGTGGTCTAGCCAGTTCCGGGGAAGGTGCCCAGTCATCGTTGACGGGAGGGGGCCAATCCGAATCAACGGATGAAGAAGCCCCCTGTCCAGCCCAATCGTTGTTAACGGGAGGGGTCCAATCCGAATCTACGGAGGAATCCCACTGTCCAGCAGCTGCTCCCGGGGGATGACTGGGTGACCAGGTAGGAGTTGGTGGTCTTCTTGGAGGGGACGGGCTTCTCGGGTGGTCCTCGAGTAGTTCCGGACTACTCAGAGGGGCCGAATACGAAGCAGCAGGTGTTGAATCTGTCCTCCTCCTTCTCCTTGGCTGGTCATCTTCGTTAGTAGAAGACCTATGTCGTCGTCGTCTTCGTCGTCTTCTTCTTTCTTGTCTCCTTCCCCTAATCATGTCACTGGCTAGGCCCAGGGTAGCTATCGGCCAGCGAGCTAACTCCCTGCCGGTGGCTACGTCTCTGACGATCCAAACATTTTCAATCTCTACCCCTGGAAATATGTAAAAGTTTTGGACATCGTCCTCAGCCATACTGATACGGTGTCAGCAGAACTGATACTAACAGAATGACACCGAGCTCTGGCAAGCTGCCGTATTTATGCGCACATCACGAGCGTAAAAGAGAGCACCCTAAACCGAGAGCCAAAAAAATCATGGCGACGTCAAATTGTGTTATTTTGTGCTTCATAATCTATACTTTGGAGTGAATAACTTATTATGGGATTAGAAATACTTTCAAACATCTTAACCCTAAGACGAAGGTAAGTTTCAAGCATGATTTCATAGTATTTTTGATGCATGACATTTATCTGTCGTCTAGAAAAGAAGCATTGATGTTGAACCGAAGGGCTAAAATCGGGTCACCTGAATACATAAAATAAGTATTTTAACCTTTTTTAAAGTGTGATACAAGGAAAACTTAATCTATACAATGAGATTAAACCTAGAGAAAAGTGTTGATACTGTTTTTAAATCAAAGGAATGGTTTCAAGTGTAAAAATATAGCCAGAGTCGGTTTAGGTATAGACACAAGAAGGCGAAGGTCGGCCATTTTTTGTAGAAAATCACTGTAATGACTTGTATAGAGAATATAGGATTTTTTTAAATCATGACCTTTTCTGACTGGAATTTTTAAATAAATCAAATCAGTTTAGTTGAAAAACAATCTGAATCCACTTTATTTCCAGTGGGAAGGTCTAGATGTTTTATAAATATTGATAAAACACAGCGTCTTATTACAAGGCACAGCATTCTATACACATAAGCATGATTTTTTTTATGAATCCTGAAAGATTTTGAGATAAAACAGATTAGTTTTAAAATCAATTTGTATCTACTTTAATGGAAATGGGAATAGATTTGTTTTTTCTGACTAAACAAAAAAAAAAAAATCTCAGCGTCTAAAAAATCTCAGCGTCTAAACCAGGGCACAAGATGGCGTCCTATTTGTATAGAAATCATAACAAAAGACTTATTGTGGTTGACATCCTTTTATTTTTTATTTAATAATTGTTCAAATTGTCGAATTCTCCTCTGAAATCGTAATCGATCGGCTACTATAGCCATCCATGGACTTTTTCGATCTTCGGGTGGTAAATGATAAATTTCATTCAGGCTGGTATCAAAAGTTACACATTTCTTAACATGTCTGAAATTTCTACATATTTCATCCCGTATTGGATGCATATTTTCTCTACCGCTTCTATTTCCTTCCAGAGTAGACATACTTTGCTCCCTTCGGGATGACATAGGAAACTGTAAGGTTTTCCTAAATAGTCGCTCATTTTCATCCCGTACATTTTTTCCGGTAGAGTCTTTTTGATCCGTTGACAAAGGAAATGTATAATGGCTAGTCTCCCCAGTGTCGGATGATGTAATAAAGCCAGGCATTGTAACCACAAGTCCTGAGTATTTTCTATGATGGTCGTCGCTCTCTGGAACACTGGTTCCGCCTCCGGGGGTAAAGCTGCTGGATTTTTCTCGATACATCGCATTAAAAAATCATACCCTTCCAACACTAAAGAGTGAGTGTGTTTATGTGTTGACATGATAATCAATTGTGAAGAAATGACCAGAAATGTTTTCTTATTTATACCCCTGTTATCTATACAAGACGTACACAGAACGTACAATGTACTGACTCAGCAATGTACTGACTCAGCAAAACGTAGGTAAAACGAGAGAGGGGTGCTAAGCGCGAGGGTCTAAAACGTAAGTCAAACCTATTTTTGCACACGAAATTCAAAAGGGTATATAAACCAGAACTGGAAATTTAGGATCATTCTTACTGGGCACTTGGTACTAGACAGACGTAGAAATATGGCACAGGCAATGATGAATTCCGTGGAAAATCGTAATTATATTCCAGCTACCAATGAAGGGTTAGGATATGCTCTACCGACAATGCCTGACACGCAGGATCCCATCGGATTTGATCTGGGACTTTACAATATGCCTGAACCCATGACAAAGGAAGATATGGGCATCTTAACCACCACTTTGGATGGCATTGTTAACATGCTGACTCAACTGAAAGAGTACAACACCAGTGAATTTTGTTTGATTCGTGGGAAATTGTCCAGATTAGAAGTTAAAGTCGCTAGAATGGAAGAAAAAATGAGAGGATACGAGAAAAATGAAAACACAGGAGCTGCCAAGAAAAATGAAGATACAAGAGCTGCCAAGAAAAGTAAACAGACAGACCCATGTTTCATATGTAAAGAATTAGGACATTGGGCTCCGGACTGTCCCAGAAAAAAACAGAACTTATGCTACACGTGTGGAAATTTTGGACATTGGGCCCATCAGTGTACAGATGACAGTATGGAATTACTCAAAGAAGTGGAAAAACTGGAGAAAAAGGCACAAGAAAATAAGACCACCCAACATAAGACCAGTCAACAGGATCAAAAGCAGATTAACAACAAGAGGAAACTTCCTACTACCCAGACGGAGAAGACCCTGAAACTCCAGAAGAAAAAGTAAATATTATGTACACATTACTTTGAATAAATCATCTTACACACTTTTTTGACTGTGTTATTGTTTTTTCCGTTTTCAGAAAATAGAGCTCTGTGTGAATGACACACATGACGTCACAATGGTATACTTGAATCGATGCCAAGATTGTGTATTGCCTAGGCCTGACTCAGCACAAAACGTAGATCAAACGTAGACCCCCCTTTTTTTTTTTACTTGGGTTTTTCCAGGGTGTATACTAGATTGAACCGGTCATCTGGGGCCCAAAAAAAGTGTACTCAGTTGACCCGCCTATCCAGGATCTGGGGGGACAAAAAGTGCACTCAGTTGACCCGCCCATCCAGGCTTCTTATACTACTGGGGTTAAATCACGCAGCCTTATGATATGAAGTGTTCATTTCTAAAAGTTTCAAAGTTTAAATGAAAAAATTAAAAGTTTAAACTGTACTTTACATTAATAAAACAAGATGTTTTATCCCCATTAAAAAAACTTAACGGGGCTATAATGATGTTTTATCACTATAAGAGCAAGAATACATGTACGTACATTCTTTGATTTGTTTTATCGCATTTGATAAAAAATAAGTTTCCGCAGTTGTAATTATTTTAAAAAATCAAGATCATTTTCTTAGCTGCATGGTGTAAGAAAGAGAAACATAAATTAAAAAAAATGTATAGCAGCCATAATTGTAATCCTCTTTGAATTTACTCTGGGAAAATAATGTGCAAAAATAAAAAAATGTCTTTTTTTTTCTTTAGAAGTTATGAGAAAGGTTAACGTTTTGGAACCCTACCCAAATAAATTTGCGTGAAAAAAAGGAAGATTGATAAGAAAATTTAATCTCGTAAATATCTTTGATTTTCTATGAATAAAGTTTCAAACTTCTTCTCATAAAAATATAGGGATGATTACATTTCTGAAAAAATAACACAGAGCTAAATCAATATGCCTATGACCTTCGATATCAGGGGCACAAAAAGTGATTAGCTCAAGATCTTTACCAATGTCTTTTGTGGTTTGTTGATGTCAACAAAGTCTTTAACAAGATGAAGCTTTTTACATTAAAAAAATTTGATTGCTTAAAAAAGAGGTGTTTGGTATACCAAGAACACAAGTTTATACACGGTAGTATCGTCTTTACCCTTTCTAGTTACATGTAAAAAAAAAATTACCAATAGAAAAAACTAAATGTTGCATAATGAAAAAACCTTCTCAGTCTAATTTACATAATGTTTTTTATATTAATGCAATAAGTATTTTGATACCCAATTACCCATTAAATTGCTTATTTCTTTCCATAATCCTCTCATCACTAGAACACCATATCATATCCTTCAATGAATAAAAAGTCTGTAAAACAGTTTGTCGTGCGTTGCCACCTTTTATGACGTTTAATAATTTGCTTGAAATTCTCAAAAGTATTACTAACAATGGCATATACTTTTACAGTCTAATTTACATAATGTTTTTTTCCTGAGTATGTCTGGCAATATTAGCACATTTGAGGTTGCGTGTGCAAAAACTATTATAGAACTGTACAAAATAGTATTGTAACACATTGTGTTAGAACGAAGTACATGTACCATGCGAGATTCGTATAAGTGTATTTATAGTGGCGAGTTTTGAAGGGGTTACGGGGCTGTAACTCAGTCTTTAATTTTACTAGTAGCCTATAGGAAAAATTTCCCTTCTGGCCATGTGCGTCTTTCCTATTAACAAATGAATGGCCACTTGCACACAGTTAGATTAGGTAACCTGGGTTTAATGACTGATCTAAGGATCAGGTAACTTGACTTAACCCCAACTTGTTATACTCTGGTGAGCTGTTGTTGGGTTGCTGACCTGTCACTCAGGCATTTCTTACATGAGTGTAGGTTAAACCAGGATTCTTTTTGAATATGGCATCAAAGAAGGCACCAAATTTTACAGAATTGGAAAAGGCTGTACTTTTTGAATTAGAGAGTGAAAAAAAATCTATCATTGAAAGTAGAAAAGAAAAAAGAAAGAAAAAAAAGGAATGGGAAAATATTGAGATTGCATACCAGAAGTATAACGCAATTAAAATCTTTGTGGAAAAATTTGAAAGCGCGTGCAAAGGCTGATTTTGCAAAAGAACGAAGAGACAGAAAAAAGACTGGTGGAGGAGTAATGGAGAAAAATATAGATAAATTTTCGGGCGCAATCAATGAAATGATTCCTCAACAAATAAACAGTCTGGATAACGCATTTGATGATGATGATGCAAGTTTCCACGGAGATGAAGCAGAAAAAGAACAGGAGAAGGACGTTGATGATGATACTCAGGTAATTTTCAGAATGTGTGGGAAAAAAAACCCACAAATAATAATCATTATTTTTCTGTACTTTGTGTGTGCATAATTTAAAATTTGTACACTTTTCACATGGATAATAAAATGTCACACTGATTTCTAGTTCTGATTTTGTATTTAAAGAAAACGCTTTTTAAAAAATTTTATAATATTATTGTATTTTATTTCATTTTTGGAACAAGTACTACAAAATATTGATGAATCAAACATAGACAAGGAAT